GCTGTCTTTGGGATACTAAGCACTATGGACGGAAAGTCATTTGGCATAAGTAGAAGTTTATGATGAGAGTGAAAGAATATAAACCTATGAAAAACTTAAATTGCATCTTAAACTGTATGGCAAAACATATTTACACAAATAAATATACATTTGACACCATATCACCGGATAATTCTTGTAAGAGGTTTATTTTCTATGAGAAACTGCTTGATTGAACACTAATAATAAATGTAAAGAAAAAAAATTCAATTTAAAACTCAAATTTATTAACAAATTCCGAACCATTGTCTGGAAGCAGGAATGAAGTTGAACAAGAAAAGGAGGTTTCTGCTGAAGGGTGAGTACACGCTTCTCAATCATCGTGCATTCAACATCATCATCCTGAATGATCACGTCTTTCTTCAACACTTTGATTGCATAAACCTCGTCTGTTCCCCTTCGCTCAGCAAGTAAAACCTTGATGTCCAAGTAGAGATAATAAGAAGGCATTGATTTGAAATTAAAATTGGGGTAAATTTCATTTAGATAAAAAGCTAAGAACAAAATTAAAATTTGTTACTTGAAATATACTAGCACCAGCTCTGCATTTTGAAGTGTCCATTTCTGCGTATATTCCTTATGGGCGCAAAATATTTGAAAATATTAAAGTTTTAATGCGATAAGGAAAAGTAGATAGCAAGCTGGCGAGAGTTCTTCCACCTTGGAGATTCATCTTTGAAGGTGATAGGCCATTGTGGATTAAAGAAATGCCAAGAGCCCAATAACTCTTAATGCATCTAACTACAAAGTATGACGATTCTAAATTACAGAAGTAGGATCCACCTTCAGGCTAACTTTTTTGATCCAAATAGCAAATACAAAAAGGTGAACGTCTACGCGGTAAGCTAAAATTCAGTGGCAGTTTTGGTATTGAGTCTCTATTACCGTCTTTATGATAAAGTCAAGTTGAATAAGGACAAAATATCATAGTTGTCATATCCTCTGTTTGGATAGAAAATGAATGAGATCATTCAAGCCAGAAAAGTCACTTTTCCCAGGACTGTGTGTGTGCTGGAAAAGGGTACTATAAAGATAGTGTGCCTACATCTTGACCCGCATATCTTGGTTTTAAATACTGTTGGGCTCACAGACGAAGTTATAATGGAAAGTTGAACTTGTCCCGGATAGAAGCTTACTTTTTAGCTGGAAATTAAAATGAGCTTCTATGGGAAAATCAAAGATAAAGAATTGTGTCGCAATCCCATTATAAACTTCAATTGTTGTAGGATTTGATTCAAGTTGACCTCTTCCCGACATTCGTGATTTATCAGGATAAATTTATACCCTTGAAAGGCATTAATAAACAAATACGAATGCTGGTAAGATATAACTCAGCCCAAATAATCTATGTAGCTGCAGACAGGAAATTGCCAGTGATTGTGATTTTTTTAAGAGGCATCAAAGGCCTCTGAACAAGTAAACAATGTAGCAAAATGGAAAGTTAGAAAATAACAATTTAATAAAACCAGTGGAATTCTAATCTTTAATGAAGAAATTTAGATCAAAGCGCACTGTAGCATGATACAACAAAAAAACCCATTCCCGTCTAAAACGAGCCCATACTGCTGTGAATAACAATAAAAAACGTGTTGAAATTGCATGAGAGCATGCTACTCATGCAATGGGCGATAATGTTTACTCGCTTTATGAACAGAATAAACGGTGGTATCTTAAAAAATAAGTACTATATAACATAAAATTAGTTTTTATAAAAGCCAATTAAGAAGGCTGAATGATAAATCTAAAAATGGAAATATTCAAGAAATTATTTATTAAGCAGGTGAATATGTTGAGCAGAGTAGATATATGAAAATCGGGGGTAACAAAGCAAATTAATTAGTTAAAATTTTATTTTGTTAAACAATGCCCGATTAATGCCATAAAATAACACCAATAGTAGATTTGCATTAGGTGATGAAGGACTAAAAGTTCAATTTTCCCACAATTATAATAATCCAGGCTGGATGTGATAATCGATTTCGCCTTGGCCTAATCAGCACCCCTAACGGGAATCAAACCCATACATAAATTACACGTGGCACCAACCGCATTCGAA